CTTCAGCTCTTATCTGATTTTCGAATTCAATGTTAACTAAACTGTAAAGGGCAAAATTTTTGCTAATTTTTATCATCATCATTTAGGCGTACAACGTCCTCGCTACCCCAATCAAGACAACTAAAGAACTGGGCTTCCACTTGGACTCTCGAGTTCTTGACGTCAACAACATTGATGTACGTTTCTCATGACCTCATATGACCATTTCCCTTGCAGTTTAATAGTCTATTTACTTGTGGGTTTCTAGGTATGTATGGGCAAGATGATGGAACAGGGACCCGTCCTGATCATCACTTTTCAAGCCCAGCAAATCCAATGCATTCGCGATACCAAGGGAGCTGTGAGGGAGGGTGACCCGGAGAAAGTCCTTCGAGTGACCCATGTTTGGGCCCTCTGCCGCGATCAGTCGGAGCTAAACCCCTGGATGGCTTGGCGTGTCATTGATGTTGCCATGATGCCTTCTGAACAGTGGATGTAGACGCAACCTGTCCCTATCCCTCATCGTACTGTACAGAATACTCCCCATAGTAGTCAGTTACACTCCACTCATTTTTACCGAAATAATGGATAAAATTGATATCTTTCACACCTGATATCGTTTCATTTTTAAAGTTATTTTATATGCTGGTAGTGTAGTGGTCAGGATTCGCATTCGTCAAATCGATACTCCTCGCTATAGATTGAGTAAATAGCATAACCAACGATGCTATTTTAAACAATTCAAATGATAAAACTCATTGGATATTAATTACAGACTTGATGGTCATTTATGTTCTTATACGCGAATGTCGAATAACTGCATGGGCTAACTCTGATAACAGAGTATCGAAAGGCGAATTGGTAAGACTCTAAAAATGTGATTAATGGTTAACGTGCTTGCTGAGATTAATATAAGCCAGTGTACACACAGTGAAGCAAATGGCTAACTTCCGATAAACAAGAGAGGTGGTTGAAAGCGGGTTTCTCATAGCATTGGCTCCAGAATATCTTCATTTTAACTGAATCAAGTGCTATAGAATTTATCATAATTGGACTTTTGATCATCGCTTTCACCTGACTTGAGACATACCTTAGTGGAAAAAACTCTTAATTAGTGAATTTGATAAAAAGATTTGGTGTGCATAGAAGTATGAAGTAAAGAACATATCAAATAGTAAGTCATGGTAGCGTTAGGTTAGAATACTCTTGGATCCGAATATCTATTTCTGATAAAATGAAATCTCGAATACTTGCATCTTCAATCTCACTCATTTCACGTCTGAGAGTCTCGCGCAGTGATTTCACATTAGCGTTAGCTTCCGCCTTGTTGCCAAGTCGCTTAAAGTGATAGTCAAGTAGACGGTCAGCATAATCAATCCATACACAATTGATGCATCCGGAGGCACAGCATTCACCTGGGTCAGGTGGTATTGGCTTCTGAAATACTGTTGTAAAGAGTCGTCTCCCTGAGGCCAACCACCGAAGAGCAATCGTCTTAAATAAGTGAAAAGTTAAAAAAAGCCTAATTTAATACTCAAACAAATAAGTAAGAAGTCATGCATACATTTCTAGAGTTGTACTCGATATTCAACAGCGTACATACAGAGAAAGTTAATATAAGAGACAAGAAGGGTAGGATAGCGATGATGACAACTAAGAACGCCATCTAGCGTGAATTTCTTTGAGACGGAGGAAAGCGGATAGAGGTATATTCAACTCAGGTACAATAGGTACTAGATCCTTTTGGACAAGTTGATCAAGGATCCTGACCAGTTGGGAGTTTGATATCTCGTCTAAGTTAAGGTTTTCCATGGATTCAACAAGGTGAGCGGTGTCACCGTCTGGCTTTCCTGAGGTTGGTTGATTGATAAAAAGACACGAAAGTCCGGATAGAGCCATGTATGTATGCAATTGATCTACAGAACAGAAGTATTTATTAGCCAGGTGGTTTTTAACATCAAGAATAGGGTATCTTATTAAAGCAATAGAAGAAAAAAGGAATCGTAGAAGACATTGAGAGCGAATAACTACCTAGTCTTAAATACTAGAATTAAGCACAGAAAGGAGGAAAATAGGCTGAAAAAGAGATTAAATGGTCCACTTTTTCGAACAAGTCTGACAAAATGTTGAAGAGAATAACTCTGGTTTACCGAAGATAACTTTTTAAATACATCTGGTGGATCCATTTATTCGAACAAGTCAAATCGATGACCACTATGATATTCAGATACGCTTTATTTAATCGATTAATAAACTCTCCATGTGCCACGTCGAGACAATATGAACGAACGCTTAATACGCGGTCGACCTGAAAGCCTTCAGATGATATTGACGCATTGCGAGCTACTATGATAGTGCAAAACGAAAAGAAGTCAACTGAAACAGGAAGATACCTCAAAATCCATTTAGATTTCTCCTACAATAAGGATGCATGATTAAAATCTTGAAAACCAGCACTTCCTCAGCTTGGAGGTTAAATACGACACCTTTGGAAAGAGAAAAGTGACCGGGAAGGATAAGAAACAGTGAATACAAGATAAACGAACAATTTGTACGATTAAGATACAACTGAACTTAGATTATGAGAGGGAAAATAATAATAATCTAATAATAGAAACCACACCGTGAATAAAGATAATGCAATGTATAGGAGCGACTAAACCTTTTGACGGTCCACAAGTAAACATTTACATTTAATTGAACATTTCAAAAACCCTGTTTGATTATCTACAAGAAAAATTGTCTCACCAGCAGAGTCTCCGTCAGGTGATTTCATAAATCCTCCAACAATAGGATCGTACGTTGAACAGATGAATTTAAGAAGGATTTCTTTTTCAACATACTGCTGCACTCCCAACATCTAAAGAGACGTGCTAAAATTTGATTAATCAGATACTTACCCTAAGAGAAGCTCCAACCCAGAAAGTATAGCAAGTATCTGGATCTTTGTGACGTCTTCCATTAAAGCCACCATTCTGTCGACTTAATAGCCAATTAATTAATTTCTGACGCTCGAAAGACCCCACAGGAAAGACTTTGTCCAAACGATTCATTAGCTTTAAACTGGCCAAAACGCAATAGGTTATACCGGCATGGGCTTCAAGTTTAGGAGAACTACCAAAAGCTCCTTCGTATGTCTTGAATAGACAAACAAACTCTCCCGAGTTAATCACATTATATAAAGAGCAAAGAGCAATTCTAAGTACTTACAAGACACTCCATCATAAATTTCTCAAAAATGTCTAAATCGAGTTGATCAAGCAAATCAAGGACGTAGGCAGAAGCAACTGCACTGAAAATAAACCGGGGATCAAACTCCGGACAGAAAAGACTTCCGTTGATCAAGTTACCATTAATATGCTGAAGTGATTTTATTCCTTCAATAATCGCTTGTCTATTTAGTCGATCAAGATTATCACCAAGAACTAATAGAGAGAGCAAGGCAGAGTAGTCAGCGGTAACGTGACAGGAATCATAAGGAAGGGGAAGAGATTTTCGACCAACATCCCCACTGTCACCATCACAATCGACATTCAGATGTAAAGGAGCACCGATAAAATTTGAACCTCTAAAACCACATCGTGTAGATCCATATTCTGCTTGAATAAAAACTTGCTTAATATTTGTGACAGACCTTTAGAAGGAAGTATCTGATGGGCATATATAAAATCAATCAAATGATTAGCTTCTGTCGATGGAATCTCATTTATTATTGAAAGTCCACATACGCTGAAGTACAGAAGCGTCAGCCTATAGAAATAAATTAAACCTATTTAGCAAGTCTTTACCTGTGGGCATCATAGGACTGGACATGGGAAGGCAAAATACCGATTGTTCTTTTGAAATATTTAAGTAATCCCTTTTTTATTGGGTTAAAATTGGAAGACATCTAAGTTATGAAATATTATCAATCTATCCCCTGAATAAAATCGAGATCCAGTGATTAAGCTGACAAATTTAGTTTAGTCTGGGTGTATCTACCAAAAGCTAAGGGTGGTAAAGTCACCGATCGACCGTACGATACTGCCCGCTTTTAAAATGAGTTCTCGAACAAAGTAACCTTGAACATTCCAAATGGATAATTTAGACATAGTTATAACTTAACTTTAATTTTGAAATCGTACAAACATAAGATTGCACATATTTTTAAATATCTGATATTAGCACTTGAATTAGGTTGGTCTAAAGAGGCTAAGCTAAGTGACTTTTTTCCATGCCTAATAAAATAGAAAAAATATCTGTATAATTCATTTATCATAGTGTAGATTCGATTATTGATTCATTTTTAGTTGATCTTCTTAGAAATCTTGATATTATAAGGCATGGAGTTTTATAGACGTCATTTCTCCGACCTCCTCTCTCTGATTAATGTGTTTAAAGACAAACTCGCTGTAGTCCAGAGAACATGGCACTTTGATAAGACTAAAAAAATTATTCGTGGATGTTTTAGAAGACGGAACACTACGAAGACTGTTAGATAAAGGAAACCACAGCCAGACACCCTTCATTTAACGTGGGTTGATTAAGAGGACAGAATTAACTAAACTTATCTTCAAAATGTCTTAAATAAATAACAAAACACTAAGCGCGAGTAGTTTAAAATGACATTAGCCAGCACACCGATATCTTTACACCAGTGCGCTATTGAGTTACATAACCTATTTCGTATCATTTGTAACTGTGGCTGCTCAAATATAAATAACTTAATGACGGAGGTTACATATTAATAAATTAGACTACTATAAAAGCTATAAGTTAATATGGCTCTGGATGAACATGCTGGGTATATAATCTCCACTGAGCATCACATGCGCATTCGAACATTTAAGAACGTGCGGTCATGAGATCTGGGACCTCTTGACTAAACAATAAGAAATAGTCATCACAGGGTCAATGTACCCAAAACAATAATTAACGAGCAAGCTCTCAGCCACTTTCCTACGTCGGGGAGGCACATCACAGAAAACATAACCACAATAAACGTAATCCGCTTTACATATCTATTTCCTCTATATCATGGAGCAGTTTAATTGATTTCTGAATCCATTTCATACAGGGGATTTTGGCATAGAGATTACTGAGGATGAATAAAGGCTTATTCGTGTAGCAATCCTCTTTAAGCCAAGGACTTGTCATCTACAAAGTTCGAGTTGTGATTTGTGCCTCTTCTCCCACTTGGCTTAATATTCAATGCTTTAAAGGTCAACTGGAACTAAATTTTCTACTGGTCTTGGCAATAAACTGGAAAAATAAGTTTATTTTTACCTGTAATCTTGCATTTTCCAAATCATTCCTCATTCGAACAACAGTGATTTTCCTATCGTAAAATTCTCGAATGAGTATTAGCAATTAATTATTCGAATTAGTTGGAGCAAGCCTATTAAATTATGC